AGTCTTTAATGTGTTTGAAAATGCTGCATTTGGGATGGGAAGAGGCAGCTGGGGAGAATCTGACTCCCCAGGGAGAAGCCTGCTAGAGCTGCTGGCATGTGGCTACTTTCAGCTTCAAAACCAAAATGTTTAATAAGGAGAAAACAGGAACAAAAGTTTGCATGAAAGAGGCAGAGGCAGTGTGGTGCAATGGTTAGAGCAGTGGTGGTCAAACTTGGCCCTCCAGCTGTTCTGGGACTACAATTCCCACCATCCCTTGCTACTGGTCCTGTTAGCTATGGATGATGGGAGTTGTAGTCCGAGCTGGAGGGCCAAGTTTGGCCACCACTGGGGGAGAGAAGAGTTCAAATTCCTCACCGGGCAAAGAGACGGTGGAAGAAGAATGGAGAAAATTTAAAAGTTATCTTAAGGACTACTATAAACTTAATGAATGCTAAAATGTTGTGGTTTCCAGAAACAAAGGGATACAGGGATATAAGGTTAGAAATATAAAAAAGGACTAAGAAGACAGAGATTGGAAAATAACAATTGGGAGTTGCTAGTTGAACTATGGACACTGGGATGCAGAGAGGGGGGGTATGGGGAAGTCAAAGGAAAGAGGTTTATGAAAATATGTTTGAAACTATACGTGTATGTTTGTCATTTTTGGTGTTTGTTTGTTTTTTGTTTAAAAAAGTTTCTAAAACCAATAAAAATTTTATAAAAAAAAAAAAAAAACAAATTCCTCACCGGGCCCTGAAGCTCTCACAGGGTGACCTTGGGTGCCAGTCCCTGCCTCTCAGCCTAACCTAACTTGCAGGGCTGCTGCTGTTGGTTTTTATGGAAGCCGCCCAGAGTGGCTGGGGAGGCCCAGCCAGATGGGCGGGGTATAAATAATAAATTATTATTATTATTATTATTATTGGGGGGATAAAATAAGGAGGAGAGCCAGGCACTCCTCAGAGAAAAAGGTTGAATATTAATGCAAGTAATAATTGTCATTGATAATAGTGAGAGGGGAATGGGGCAGATTCGTACTTCCCCTGTTGGACTTCCGCACCCCCTACAAATCAACCCCTTGCCTGGTCAGGGTGCCAGCTTGCTTCACTCCGTCTGCAACTTGCCTGCCTGCCTGCTGTAATATCATTAAACAAATGCATTTACTTAGGTGCTCTTCAGCCCCTTCTGGACTGGTCATTCCTAGGGTCCAGATAGGAGGTGTGAAGTGGCAGCTTAAAAAACAGCAACCCAAAAGCATGCGCAGAGTTCCTCTCCTCTCTGCCCTATTCAGTGACAAGCAAGCAAACCGCCTGAGTCGATCCGATGAAACAGCTTCCTTGGCAGGTCTCATTTCTATGGTTTGGAAGAATCACTCGCAGGAGCACAAATTTATTCAAAATTGCAAAATGATAAAATCAGCTGCTGTCGATGCCACCCTGCTTTTTAGGACCTTAATAGAAAGCATCCGGTTCTGCAACAAGCAAGCCACTCCTTCCTGGAATTAGAACTCACTATTTGTCTCCAAAGTCCAAAGTTCTAACCTCTGTTATGTAAAATCTTCCCACAGCTCAGCAGCAGCGGAGATCATGCTTTGAACTCAGAAAGTCCCATCCTGAGATCTAAACAGTAAAGAATCAGTCACCTACTACAAGCAGCCAGAAGGGCTGTTCAAATTCAAATGCAAACTTTGCTTATCTGGTCTGAAAAGCAGAATTTTTTTGGGGGGGGGGTTGGACATCTCTACAACACAATTCTATGTGTTTGGGACATGGGGTATGTTGCCAACAAACTCGGCTCTTATTCTGAGGGATATTTCTTCCACTTCTTTCTGTAATGTTCTTGTTATAGGAAAAAATGGGGGGTTTGGCTTTTGCTGCCTGCTCCCCAAGGGACTGGGTCCCCTAAGCCCATGATTGGTCAGAGATGAATGGATCTTTACTTTTCTGTTGCAACAAAGTTCCCTCCCCTCCTTGCAAGGAGGTAGGAGAGATCCAGAACAATGGTGCACAAGCTCCTTTAAAGACTTTTGAAATTGCCCACTTTGTTGCCCAAGACCACCCCCCAAAACATCATACATACATCACAGAAGGAGGCGGTCTCCAGCAGAAATTTGAGAGGGTTGCTTCTCTCCTGTCTGCCGGGATACCTGATAATGCCTCACCTGATTGCAGTTTCTGGGTAGCCTGGCCATTCCTTTGAGATGGTAAATACTTTAGTTCCTGAATCTCTTCCACATATCAATACAGTCATACCTTGGGTTGAAGTTGCTTCAGGTTGAGCTCTTTCGGGTTGCAATCTGCAGCGACCTGGAAGTAACGGAACGCGTTACTTCCGGGTTTCACTGCTCGCGCATGCACAGACACTCAAAATGACGCCATGCGCATGCGCGGAAGTGGCAAATTGCGACCCGCACACGTGCAGATGTGCAGTCGCGGGGTGCGTTCGCTTCAGGATGCGAACCGGGCTTCAGAACGGATCCCGTTCGCATCCTAAGGTACCACTGTAGTTTATTAAACTTAACAGATACTTGCTGAACTGTATTTGCAGGGACTTGTAAGTTCCTACAGTCCAAAGACAATTGGAAAGCTTTTCCCATTTCCTTCCTCCTTGCAGAGAAATATTTGAGGTCAATTTGGGAGAGTCAAAATGGCTGCAGGATTGCTATGTGTTTCGCCTTGTACATATATGAACATTTATTCTATATTTGAGACCTTAGAATTCTTATAACACTCTTAACTGCCTTCTCCGTAACCAGATAAAGGTTATCTCTGAATACCTGATTCTGATCACAACCGACAGAGCAAAGTCTCCTATCTCCCAGGAATCTTGCTTTGCAAGCTTTGCAAATGAAGGACAGGCTCATGTGCGCGTTGGCCTGATCTGACAAGGCAGTCCGCCTGCTGCTAAGTCCTCATCATGATCTGTGCAGTTTATTAGCAGCCATAAAACTGTTTGTCCCAGGAAGGCTAAGTGAGGTCCTGGGCGTACGCCAAGCAGATCTCGTGCATGCTTATAAGTCTCAAAGACTTCAGTCAAGGAGACTCACGGTCGCATAAGAAGTACTTATTCCTGCATTGCAGGGGGTTGGTCTAGATGACCCCAGGGGTCCCTTTCTAAGTCCATGATTCTAAGCATCTTTACAATGGATTAGGGCTTAAGGTGACATCCTTATGCTGAGGGTCCGCCACGCCCTCCTGTTCTGATCTGCAGGTCCAAATGCAGACCAGGGCAAAGGCTTGACTGATGCTTCGAAGGACCCAGTTGCAGGGATGCCAAAACAAGATGCACAAAACTTCAGAGTCGCTCAGTTGGTTAGAGGGTGGCGCTGATAACGCCAAGGTTGCAGGTTCGATCCCTGCAAGAGACAGCTGCATATTCCTGCATTGCAGGGGGTTCCACTGGGTCCCTTCCAACTCGACAATTCTCTCTGAATTCTGTTCTAATTCGAATGCTTTATTATAAAGGTGTATCAAGAGATTTACATGCAGGATTCCTTGCCACTAGGCTTCAGGACGGCCACTGAAGCGCTATGGCTTTTTCAGTGAGGCTTACTTATAGGAAAAGCAAGCTCAGATAGCTGGCAGTAACAGCCCCATTTCTTCTTCTTCTTTGGCGATCCCTCGTAGCTAAGTAAGATTGTCTTCCATGAACACAGTTTTAACAATGAGTCCGTAATTGACTGTGGAGGCCACTTCTGGATCCACACATCCTTTCACAGTGGGGACATTGGTTTCCGGGCAGGAGTTGATCACGGTGTGGAATTGCCAAGCGTGCCTTCCTCTTAGCACATTTCTCCCTTGCGTCCTGAGTTCGAGTGTCTCCAAGGCCCATGACACCTTTGGTAAAGGCTGTTCTCCAACTGGAGCGCTCGCAGGCAAGTGTTTCCCAATTGTTAGTGTTTATACTACATTTTTAAAGATTTGCCTTGAGAGAGTCTTTAAACCTCTTTTGTTGACCACCAGCATTATGCTTTACATTTTTAAGTTTGGAATAGAGTAGTTGCTTTGGAAGACGATCATCAGGCATCCCCACAACATGACCAGCCCAACGAAGTTGGTGTTGAAGAATCATTGCTTCAACACTGGTGATCTTTTCTTCTTCCAGTACCCTGGCATTAGCTCGCCTGTCTTCCCAAGTGATGTGTCAAATTTTTGGGAGACACCAAAAAATTAACCACCCCTGGCCTAGAGGCCTCTTCCCCACCACTCAACAGGCTGGCAGCTGGAGAAGCCTGCCCTCCCCCAACTCGCTAAACCAAAAGTTAAGACTTCAAAGCAAGCAGATAAGCAGATGTGACCCCATTTTACAGCTCACAGCAATTCACCCCACTGTTTTCTTGGGGCAATTGCCTCCCCACCTCCCTCACCCTAGTTTAAAACTGCTGCCCTTTATTCCAACTCAAGCTGCATCTATATTGGACTTGCAACCGTTTCACACTGCATATTTACCATATTTTTCCGTGTATAAGACAAGGTTAATTTATTTTAAAAATATGCTAAAAATTGGGGGTTGTCTTATATACATATAGTGGAGAGGTGGGATGGGCGATTGGTGGGGTGGCTGCCGCGAGCAGGAGGTTGTCACGGCGTTTTTGTGTATGATTGGTAGGTGCGGGAAGGTCCACTGGCTATTGACTGCTGCGGCAATTGGGCGTGCGATTGGTGCTTGCTTTTGGTGATAGTGCAGACGATTGGTGGCTTTGTTGATGTGTGTGCAGTTAGCTGTGGCTCAACCTGTCTGCGCAATCCTCCCCCCCCCATTTTCTCAATTTGGAGTCCCAAAATATATACATGGGGGAGTCTTATAGATGGAAAAATACGGTATTTTATTACAGTGTTTTAGACTGTTTCTAAAGAAGGAGAAGGGGACGACAGAGGATGAGATGGTGGGACAGTGTTCCTGAAGCTACAAACATGAGTCTGACCAAACTGCGGGAGGCGGCAGTGGAAGACAGGAGGGCCTGGCGTGCTCTGGTCCAGGGGGTCACGAAGAGTCGGAGACGACTAAACGACTAAACAACAACAGACTGGTGCTCTCTCCCACCCCCAGTCCCACAATTGCTACTGTATGAAATTGTGCAACTGTTTCTATTGCTGATGCTTTTGATGAGGAATTGCTTCAAAGTATTTGATGGGATGCAAGTCATGAATGGAAATAAATAGGCAAATAGACAAAGCTTTCCTTTGGGGTGTCTTTGAACCCTACGATTCTCTCTTTGGAGCACTTCCAAGGTGATATTCTCTGTCTCCTTGGTGGGAGCTCAGGGCTCCTTTGAACAATCATTGACTGACGATTTCTCAGCTGATCTTTGGAACCTGGCATATCGGGAAGCCTGCTTCTTTAAGGCTTAAGGAGCTCTTGGCTTTCATCAGCTGTGCTGCCAGCCCACCTGAGAGAGAGAGAAAGCAGCTGCAGGTGAGAATGCTCAGGTATAAAAGGTCTGTTGGGAGGATTTATTGTGTTTGAAAGTGGGTCTTCCTTGGCTGTATGTGCAGGTAAGTGATGGAGGAATGGACTGGTGCTCCTTTTGGGACTCACCTGTAGCACCGGTTTAAAAGTGGCTAGAAACCCTTGCCTAATATGCTTGTGAAGGACAGTTTTCTGGAATTACAATGCTGTTTTTGGAACACTGCTCATCTCCTCTCGTATCTTTCCTTTCTTGTTTTCATCTCCCCTCGTATCTTTCCTTTCTTGTTTTCTTCCTTATTGTTGTTGATGTTACTGCTTTTTATGTATTAGAAAGTGAGGGCAACTATTTTAAAAAGTGGACAGAAATAAAACCATCTTAATGGCTACGGTTTTCCTGGCTCCTGTGGATTTGGGTTGTGGGCTCTTCCTCTGGGTTGCTGTTTGTTCTACAGTGGTACCTCAGGTTAAGTACTTAATTCGTTCCGGAGGTCCATACTTAACCTGAAACTGTTCTTAACCTGAACCACCACTTTAGCTAATGGGGCCTCCTGCTGCCGCCACGCTGCCGGAGCACGATTTCTGTTCTCATCCTGAAGCAAAGTTCTTAACCCGAGGTACTATTTCTGGGTTAGCGGAGTCTGTAACCTGAAGCGTATGTAACCTGAAGTGTATGTAACCCAAGGTACCACTGTATTACTTATTTCATAAAATTTATTCACCACCTGAATGTAAAACACACTCAAATCCATTCACAAAAAAGGGAAAAATAAAATTGCCAATAAGAAGAATTAGCAATTTATGATTTTTAAAATGTTAAAATAATATTCAATCTTGCATCACCTTTTAAAATACCTGGGCAGCCTTGTCTATACAAAACTGTTTTCAGGAGGCACAAAGAATACAGCAAAGGTGCCTGTCCGATGTCAATAAGCAGGGAGTTCCAGAGGGCAGGTTTTGCCACAATCAGAGATCAAGTTCTTAACAATAAGGAACAGATATCACTTGGCACCAGTTCCGCAGATCAAAGCAGTCAAGTGGGCATATAAAGGGCACTTGTTCTCTTTGGAAGGCTTTGTTTTCCAGCAAAAATCAAAGTTTAGTGTGTGTGTTTTTAAACCTGAAAAATCAAATGGGGAAACTGGTTTCCAAAAGTGTGTAAGGGAAGTTCTCTGCTGATCTTACCTGGGTGAGTAGATACAGTTGGGGGGGGGAGGGAGGGAGTTAAGGAAAGATGACTGAGGTGGGGGCAGAATCATCTGCTGCAATATCCTCTCCTGGTTGCAGGCAGTGTTGATCACAGCTCCAGACATGCTCAGTTCACGGCACTGAGAGCAGCCGACAAAGCTGCCCTCTGCAGCCTTGACAAGCCAGGTGGGTCCTTGTGATGCTGCTGCAGCTATTTGGTTCTTTGAATCTATTCCTTTCTCTCTCTCTCCTGCCACCATCTGCAGGGAGATGGCAGCGTGCGGGAAGTTGCTGGGGCTGCTGGCTCTCTTGGCTGCCGGGGCTGCTGATGTCTCGGTGCTGAACACGTGCATGGATGGCAAACATCACAAGACGGAGCCTGGTAAAGAGGATGAGCTGCATGGGCAGGTAGGGCTGTCTCCCCAAAGAGGATTCTGAAACTCAGCTCTATTCCCTGAGCTGAGCTGTGCCAGAGAGAGTCAATGGAGGGCAACGGCAGTGAAATATACTCGGAGTCGAGAGTGGATTGCATGCTCTTTATTCAGCTCATAGTGGTGAGGAGTTATGCAAGTTCCCCCAGAACGTCTGCTTTATATACATTATTTACACAATGGGCCCTACGTGATTGGCTAATTCCGGGATTCACATGTAGGCCATTCAGGTTGTGGATTCACTTCCACCTGGAGCTGGATTGGGTGGCTCCTGTGGACCAATCAGACTGCTGCATTCTGGATCCTATTGTTCTAGGACCAATCAGACTGCTGCATTCCGAATCCTATTGTTCTAGGACCAATCAGACTGCTGCATTCCGAATCCTATTGTTCTAGGACCAATCAGACTGCTGCATTCTGAATCCTATTGTTCTAGGACCAATCAGACTGCTGCATTTTCGATCCTATTCAGCTCAGTACATAACAGGCAGCCTTTGCCAAACCTGGTGCTCTCCTGATGACGTTGGACTACAGCTCCCATCAGTCTCAGCCAACAGAGCTTGGGCAAGGCCATAGCTCTGAGGGAAAGCCAGCTTACTATTTTTAATTTTTGCTAAGGCTATTCTAGGCTGCATCAACAGAGGTCTAGTGTCCAGATCAAGGGAAGTCATAGTCCCAGTCTATTCCATCTTGGTCAGGCCCCACCAGTTTTGGGCACCCCAGTTTAAGAAGGATGTTGACATCCTTCTGGAAGGGGTCAGAGGAGTATAACCAAGAGGATCCCCAGGCCACAAGCCTGGGTAGTGTGTATGGAGTTCCTGGACTACCTAGACAAGTCTCATTGATGTGGTCCGAAGGAAAGCAGAGCAAGACATTTGACACCAGTTGGCTGCAGGAAGAAGAGGAGTTTAGATTTGATATCCCACTTTCACTACCCAAAGGAGTCTCAAAGTGGCTCACAATCTCCTTTTCCCTTCCTCCCCCACAACAAACACTCTGTGAGGTGAGTGGGGCTGAGAGACTTCAGAGAAGTGTGACTGGCCCATGGTCACCCAGCAGCTGGAGGAGCAGGGAAGTGAACCCGGTTCACCAGATTACGAGTCCACCGCTCTTAACCACTACACCACACTGCAGGAGTTGCTGGAAGGAGGCAGACAAGGTGCCATCCAACCGCCTTAGGGACCCCACTCTGGATTTGTGTAGGGTTTACTCCTTAGGGTCTGGAAACCAAGCCTTAAGAGCTGGGGTGTACCTCCCAACCCTATAGTTCTATAGGTGTACGATTTAATGACAAGCAAAATGAGAATAAATTTGCCACTGGCTAGGAAGCAGGGCTTGGGGTGTGAGTGAGTGAAGGCAGCATGGAACATCCTAGTCTTCTTGTGACTTGGGAGGGAGGGAGGGAGGGAGGGAGGGCGAGGTGCTAGATGAGTTGGCCTTTCCTCCCTCTTTCCCTCTCCTCCCATAGTGCTCCCCATGGAAAGAAAATGCTTGCTGTACAAATAGCACGAGTCATGCCGCACATGATGACCAGTCCTACCTGTACAACTTCAACTGGAACCACTGCGGGATCATGTCGCCTGCGTGTAAACGGCACTTCATCCAGGACACCTGCCTCTACGAATGCTCGCCCAACCTGGGCCCCTGGATTAACAAGGTGGGCTTGGGGTTTTGACCTTTAAAGCCCTATGCGGCCCAGGACCCTCGTACCCACGGGACCGCCTCTCCTGGTATGCCCTGCAGAGGACCTTAAGGTCCACAAATGACAACATTCTGGAGGTCCCAAGTTGCAAGGTGGTTAGGTTGGTCTCAACTAGGGCCAGGGCCTTTTCAGTACTGGCCCCAACTTGGTGGAATGCTCTGTCACAAGAGACCAGGGCCCTGCGGGACATTCCGCAGGGCCTGCAAGACAGAGCTGTTCCGCCTGGCCTTTGGTTTGGACTCAGTCTGACCCTTATGTTTTCCTCCCCTTACGGTTTTGATCTATGGGCTACTTTTAAAACGAGGCTGCATTTTAAATTGCATTTTATTTTAATTTTTTTCCAAAAAATTTATTTGTTTTCACAATATTATAAACAAACAAACAAACAAACAAACAAACACACAAGACAAACAAACATAACAAACATAAATCATAGCCTTCTTGAAAATTACCGTTAACTTTGTTAAGTGACTTCCTTGCTTCCCCTTGGTTGAATTTCATTGCATATCCTTTTAACGGTTTTCCAAATCCCAATTTTCATAAAATTTAACTTAAACATTAACATCCTTAAATTTTCACCTTTATATAATTAAACATATTAATTCATCACTTAACATAAACAAAATCCTAAGCCTATTTAGTGTCTGCAAGCTGTTTCCGGTTATTTTAAGTTAACAAATTTAACTAAATAATCATTAAATTTATTCCATTCTTCCTGATAATTGCATTTTAACCTGTATTTTAAATTGGGTTTCCCCCCCTAGTAAGTTTTTACTGTCATTTTGCTGGTGTTAGCTGCCCTGGGCCCGGCTCTAGCTGGAGAGGACAGGGTATAAATAACATTTTTTAAAATATTATTATTATTATTATTATTATTATTATTATTATTATTAGCATTTCACTTGTGTACATCTACCCCCCACGCTCCCCTAAAAGGGAACCAGACAGAATTTGCTGGACTTTGGGTGTCCTGCGTTTTTCCGTGTCTAGAGAAAGGAATTGCCGCAGTGGTTCTCAAACCTTTTCGGAGGCCAGCCCACCCTGGTTCCATAAACTCACCCCCAACTCTATGGAATGTGTTATTCAGAATAATGGTTTGCATGACCCACTCAGGAAGGCAGTAACATGAAAAAATGCAAAGCCGTAACAACCAATTGTCCATTTATTCAAAATCCAGTTAAAATTATTTAGTTGAATTCAATTTGTTTTAAATATATTTTTATGAATTCTCTAAAGATATTTCAAAGCATTTATCACAGTTTTTCTTTAACATTGAGTGTATCTGAAGAAGTGTGCATGCACACGAAAGCTCATACCAAGAACTAACTTAGTTGGTCTTTAAGGTGCTACTGGAAGGAATTTTTTTTGTTTTGACTATGGCAGACCAACACGGCTACCTATCTGTTTCTTTAACATACATAGTTTCTTCTTGACTTCCTACCCTTCCTTTCCTGGTTTTTGTTTTTGTTTTACTTTTTTATTAGCTGCCTTATAACACCTGTTTTTATTGTCTAAGCCCCAATATCATTGGTTCTTTCAATAATCCGCTGCTTATACTTCAAATCCTGTCTTCATATACGAGTGATAGTTTGATACGTAACACTGGGGAACAAAATTTTTGTTGCATTGACACCTGCAGTTGTTCTAACTTAATTTTGATGTGCTGATTTCATATCTGAAGTTGGTTTTGTTCTGTAAGCTCTAGTTTTTTTGCAATTCATGTTTTTCACTTTTCACCATAATCTTTTTCACAATGCAAGAATTCAATATTTTATTAAACACATAGCCAAAGTAGTACAATATGAGTATAAATGTATGTGACTTGAAGAAGCCATGGTCCGATCTGAAAAATGCAAATATTTAGGTTACAACACTATAAAAATAAAGAAAAAATAAGTTTGCAAAATAATAATTACCATGTGGTTAGGGTAGATCAACGTGTCAGTGTCCACTTATCCCCAGTGTAAATATGACATATTGGCAAAAGTCGGAAATTGAAAGATAACTATAGCACGTACACAAAAATTGATTTCAGATTTGAAACCAGCATTGAAAGAACATATAAGAACAGTTGAAAAATCTCATGCAACAGAAAATGGAAAAAAAAAGTTCATCACTGATCCATCAATGGTCCCCATGCCTCCTTAAACAGTTCATCATTATGAAAGCTGGAGACAGAGACCTGCTTGCTCTATGCTTGATCCAAAGCTGTGATGAATGGAGAAGCAAGAACAGTTGAGGTCTTAGTGCTGTGAGCCCCTCCATCTTGTGCCCAGGTTGTGTACCTGTGCAAATAAAACCAGATACCCTAGAGACATGAGTCTCTGCTGACCTTCATTCCAAGAAAACCAAACCTGGGCAATCTCCTGGAGTCTCACTGCTCAGAGATTGGGGTGGCGTAGAACAGCATTTATTGGGCTTTCAGAGCTGACGAAATCGAGCCGCAAGCTGTGCCATTAATCTTTGGGTGCGGGGCGCCCTTCCACTTCTCCCTAACCTTCCCCCACCCCCTGCATAAATCTAACCTATTCCTCCCCGTGCAGGTGGATCAGACCTGGCGCAAAGAAAGGATCCTGGATGTCCCGCTGTGCAAAGAAGATTGTGAGCAGTGGTGGAACGACTGTCGGAATGACATGACGTGCAAGGAGAACTGGCACGTGGGCTGGGACTGGTCCCAAGGTCAGTTGGCGCTGCAGAGAGCAAGAGCTTCCTGGTGCTTCGGCCTCCCATGGGAGTTTGAAGGAGGGGAAAGATAAATATAATAATAATAATAATAATAATAATAATAATATTATTTTATATCCCGCCCATCTGGCTGGGCTTCCCCAGCCACTCTGGGCAGCTTCCAACAAAATATTAAAATACAGTCATGCATCAAACATTAAAGGCTTCCCTAAAGAGGGCTGCCCTTCAGATGTCTTCTAAAAGTCTGGTAGTTGTTTTTCTCTTTGACATCTGACGGGAGGGCGTTCCACAGGGCGGGCGCCACTACCGAGAAGGCCCTCTGCCTGGTTCCCTGTAGCTTGGCTTCTTGCAATGAGGGAACTGCCAGAAGGCCCTCAGAGCTGGACCTCAGTGTCCGGGCTGATCGATGGGGGTGGTGATGCTCCTTCAGATTTACTGGACCGAGGCCGTTTAGGTTGCAGAGGTGGGACTTCTGGCCAAAATAGAGACGGTTCACACATAATACTATGCCCCTAGTTTATTTTAAACCCAAGGGTGTGGAACTAGACCAGGTCAGAGGGCCAGTTCCTTTTCTCCTCCACCCAATCGCAGGGCCAAGTCTGAGAGGTGAGTGGGGTGTTGGGTGGCTGTGCATACAATGAAGATGAATGTTGGAAGATTCAGGACACAAAAGGACTTCTTTACACTGTGCATGGTTAAACTGTGGAACTCTCCGCCACAGGAGGCAGGGGTGGCCTCCAGCTTTAAAAGAGAAACAGACAAATTCATGTAGGAGGAGAGGGCTATTGATGGCTCCTAGTCAGGATGGCTGTGCTCTGCCTCCCCAGAGGCTGCAATGCTTCTGAATCTTGGTTTACTGGGAACCCCAGGAGGGCAGCGTTGTCCTGCTTGTGGGTTTCGCTTTGGGGCATCCTGTTGGCCACTGTGAGAGCAGGATGCTGGCCAAGATGGTCCCCCTTTGGCCTGATCCAGCAAGCCCTTGTTAATGTTCTTACAGACCTGACAGTCCAGGTGAGTGTGTGTTTGTCTGGCTGTGCACTAATGCAAACTCTTTTTAAAAAATGAATTGTCCAAATCATTTGGCCAAAATCAAAATTGTGGGTGGTATCCAGACAGGCAACGAATGAAAAAGAAGTGTCAATTCAGGGGACGGGTTTATTCTTTATATATATATATATATCTTTATATATAAAATTTATTAGTTTTGTAACGTGCCATTTTTAACAGTCATTAAACATACTTTTACATCTTATTCAATTTTTTGACTTCCATCAGTCCTGTCTGAAAATTTTCCAATGTAATCTCTTAGTATGCATTTCTTACTTTCCCCTATTACATTTCAAACATAACCAATATCTCTATCTTTATCTACTTTGTAACACTTCATATATTTCTCCCTACAAAACTTCTTGTAGTCCTAGTAGTGTAATTTGTTGATTACAATTGCTCTTCAAATAGTTCATATACTTATTCCAATCTTCTGTAAATCTCTGGTCCCGCAGGTTTCGAATCCTTCCTGTCATTTTGTCCAATTCTGCATGGTCTATTAATTTCGTCTGCCATTCTTCTTTTGTCGGAATTTCTTCTTGCTTCCATTTCTGGGCTAACAATACTCTTGCCGCTGTTGTTGCAAATAAAAACAGTTTAACATCTTGCCTATTAATATCCTGCCCTTTAATACCAAGTAAAAATGCTTCTGGTTTTTTTAAGAATGTATATTTCAACATCCTTTTCATCTCATTCTATATCATTTCCCAGAAGTTCTTTACTTTCTTACATTCCCACCATATATGATAAAATGTTCCTTCTTTTTCTTTACATTTCCAACATTTATTATTTGTCTTATACATTTTAGCTAATTTAGGGGAAGGGCTTTTTCTTAAGGTGGCCGTCCTGGCTGCCGGGGACAGATTACCGTATTTTTCGCTCCATAGGGCGCACCTAGTTTTTAGGGGGGGGGGGAATAAAGAAAAAAAAAATTATTCCCCGCCCCCAAACCCAAAGAGCAAAGAAGCCAAGACAGTCAGCGGGATCCATCCCTCTGGCTGTCTTGGCTTCCTCTTTAGCCACACACAACTTCTCCAGCCGGGAGAGGCTGCGCGCGGCTTCGTTTTTAGCCGCGGGGCTAGGGCGGGGGAAGCCCGAGCTTCCCCCAACCCCAGCCCCCAGAACAGGTCCGGGAGCGGTGGTAAGATTGCGCGCAGCCTTGCCGCTGCTCCCACAGCTTGCAGGGCTGGGGGAGCGCTCTGAGGGTTTGCGGATAGCTGCCTGAAGCCAGGGGAGCGCAGTGGGAGTTGGCACTGCGCTCCCCGGGCTTCGGGCTGCAGGCAGCTATCCACAAGCCTTCAGAGCCCGGGGAGTTCCCGCCGCGCTCTGAAGGCTTGCGGATAGCTTCCTGAAGCCTGGAGAGCAAGAGGAGTCAGTGCGCACCGACCCCTCTCGCTCTCCAGGCTTCAGTGAAAGCCTGCATTCGCTCCATAGGACGCACACACACATTTCCCCTTCATTTTTGGAGGGGAAAATGTGCGTCCCATAGAGCGAAAAATACGGTAAGTTTTGTTACGATGCCAACTTGATGTCTGGCGACTCTCCTCCTTTCTCTGGGATGGGTACCCAGCCCGCTGAGGATCTTGGAACGACAAGCCTTGCTCAGCCTGGCATCTCTTCCCTTCAATTCCAGGGTATAACCAGTGCCCCCACACGTCGAAGTGTCAGCTGTGGGAATCTGTCTTTCCTAGTCCACAAGACCTGTGTGAGAAGATCTGGAGCAACTCCTACAAATATACCACCTTCACGAGAGGCAGCAAGCGCTGCATCCAGATGTGGTTTAATGCAACGCAGGGCAACCCCAATGTGGAGGTGGCAAAGTACTATGCCAATGCTGGGGCAGGTCTCTCACCCTGGATGCTCCTGGTTTTGCTTTTCCCTGCCCTCCTAGCAGCCCTGCCGTGAACTTTGCAAGGGACTTCTCTTGATCCTGAAGAGTCTTGACCCTGCAAGATTGCACTGGGATTTCCCACTTCCTTTATCGCGGCGAGAGTGCTCTCGTTCCGGATTCCCAGTAAATAACACTCCAGCTTGCCTGTAAGAAGAGTTTATCTTCCGGGACTTTCTCCGAACATTGTTTCAGCTTCTGTTCATTTCTATCACCTCGGCAAACTTGGTCTACTTATGGGGACGTGGAAAGGAAGGTGGCCTCTAGTAATAAGGGTGTTTGCAACACCTGGGAACACACAACTGGAAGAAGGAATAAAAGCCTGGTTCTTCAATTCAATTTGCTGTTGTGCCCTTTGCTTTCATCAGTGCAAGGAAGAGGGTCGATGCCTGATTCCTAGCCCCTGTTACGGCTAAAATCTGGGTGTGGGGTTACTCTGCCACCCAGCTCATCGGACTAAGTCCGTGGGTCCCTGCGGAAGAAAATGAGGTCAGACGGACGCAGGAGCAAACTGCAGAAGATCCAAGTTTATTGCGCAACAGGTTCAAGGCGAGATTGAACAGAGAGAAAGGGGTGACATGAACTTTTGAAATTTCCCTCCATATCCCAGAATACAGTGCAAAATACATCCCAGTTACATCACGAATACATTAAGGAAAGGTTGGGTTACACAGATTACATCATGAATACATTAAGGAGAGGTTGGGTTACACTGGATTAACATATGGAGGAGGGAGGGGGGAATATGCAGAGCTGGAGATATGCGCAGATAAGCACATCCTGAGAAGACAATGTTCCATGTACACATAGTCTGTCACCTGGCATCGCCAGGAGGAAAGGTTTGGCAGAGTGATTTTGACAGGATTACTTGAGAGATTATGGAGGACAGGGGAGGGGTGATGGAGTCCTAGAGAAATTGAGCAAATATATTGTAGTGAAGAAGACATGCCCCCCCCTTCCGTAACACCCCAAATACTTGCTTTCTACTGAAGGGGAGTAGGTGGTGGAGAATTTCGTTATCACTTATTAATATTATCCTGCCTTTTTCCTGGGCTGAGACTCAAGGAAGCTTACTCAAATTAAAACACAGGTAAAATACAGAGAGCTACAAACTTATAGAAGATAATAATTAAAGAGTAATTAAACTCTAGTACAGTGGTACCTTGGGTTAAGAACTTAATTCGTTCCAGAGGTCCGTTCTTAACCTGAAACTGTTCTTAACCTGAAGCACCCCTTTAGCTAATGGGGCCTCCTGCTGCTGCTGTGCCGCAGGAGCACGATTTCTGTTCTCATCCTGAAGCAAAGTTCTTAACCCGAGGTACTATTTCTGGGTTAGCGGAGTCTGTAACCTGAAGCGTCTGTAACCCGAGGTACCACTGTAGATTTAAACCAATATAGCAATAGATAGTAAAAACGGCACAGTGCTATTTAAATGCCCTTTTCTTTAAAGTCAGTCCCCCAAAACCTGTTGGAATAAGAAAGTCTTTACCTGCCCATGCAAGGACAAGGAAGAAGCCAATTTAGCTTTTCCAGGGAGGGACTTCCAAAGCTGTCTGGGAGCAGCCACCACTGACAAGGCCCTGCTATAAAAAAAATTGGGGGACCCCCCTAAACCCTAGAAATTAATAAATGGTAGGATTTTGATTTGGGATGTGAAGGGAGAAATACAAGCTGCAGAGGAGTTCCTGGGTTAGCCTATGCAAAAGGACCTGGCCAAGCTAGGGCCATTTAGGAACAAGAGAGGGCCATTGAGAGCCACTGGCAACGGGAGAGAGAACTGTCCTTCCCCTTGCCCTGAGGTGTGAACAGGGAGTGGGGGTTTGGAAGGATGCCAGGGGAACTGGGGGTTTGATGTGACAGGAAAATGGAAGACTGGTCGCAAGGGGTTCTAGCAAGAAGGGCTGGGAGCCATCTTTGGGCAGACTGGCTGGGAGAGATGCCTTGGAGTCTAGGGCTTCACTGCCCCTCTTGAAAGGACCACGCTGTAAGATCAGGACTCCCTCCAGGCAGACAGAAGGTGTAAATAGGCGAATAAACAGTATTTCTTAGTTGCTATCTGGAAACACTGTTCAGCAGAGCTGAGAGTTGGACACCAGAACTGGACATTTGCCAGTGATACAAGCTTGATTTCTGCCAGGTAAAGTCTGGCAACGTGACTTATTCAAGGACTTTCAGAGACTTCAGGTTGATAGTTTTTATGTTTTGCATTATTCCATAAAGTTTTCTATACTCTAATTGTATCTGGCCACCGTGTTGCTTTTGATATTGCTGAGTCACATTTTGCAACTCAGGGGTTGTTTGTTTACCCTTCTGCATTCCAAGCAGATGTTCTGCCACTTCTCCACGGTACCCCTAGAAAAAGAGAGGATCGGCTGCAGCCCTTCTGTTCCGGGTCTCTTGCTTTTATCTCAGATTCTCCCTGGAAGGCCAACAGAGGGTACTAGATCAGCGTGCGCGCACGCACACTCTCTCTCTCTCTCTCTCTCTCTCTCTCTCTCTCTCTCTCTCTCCAGGCCTGGCTGCAAAACAAAACAGGACAGTATTAATTTAACTGTGGGCGGGTGTACATTCTTGTGGGCTGCGCGCATACTTTTGGAGCTGGAGGAGTGGGGTGTTCCGCATGCGTGCTGGCGGAGCCACTCACCCACACAGCCCCAGTGCCTTCATGTGCTGGCAGTGGCCTGGAGGGGAGGCCCCCTGCTCTGGATTGGCTGCTTAAGGAGTGCAGCAGAGATTCCTGGACCACCCGTGGGCCGGATTGAGGTGGTGATTGGACTGGATCCGGCCCCTGGGCCTTTGTTTGCCTACCTATGTCTAGTGCATGGGTAGGCAAACTAAGGCCTGGGGGCCAATCGCCTTCTGAATCCAGCCCACAGACGGTCCGGGAATCAGCGTGTTTTTACATGAGTAGAATGTGTCCTTTTATTTAAAATGCATCTCTAGGTTATTTGTGGGGCATAGGAATTCGTTTATTATTTCCCCCCAAAAATATAGTCTGCCCCCCCCACAAGGTCTGAGGGATAGTGGACTGGCCCCCTGCTGAAAGTTTGCTGACCCCTGTTCTAGTGGAACATCTATATGGCTATTTGGCAATTATCACCCCCTCATAACACTAAAATGTGAAGACATTCAATGAAACTGAACACTGTGGAAGATCCTGGGTAGAGAAATTCTACCTATGGAAACCCCCCCCCCCACAAGGGCAGTGACGGCCATCAACCTACACCCTTGTGCAAATTAACTGAAACAAAGCCTGTTTTCTGTCTTACTCGTAATCCTGTACTCAAAACAAACACAATAAGTCGGTTGATCCTTATGGTGGTGGAAGCCTGCAGCCAATAGATGCGCTCACCACAATACTGTATATTGAGGTTCTATGAAAAGAGTTATTCCAGAGCTGGAAAACAGGTATCCTGACGGTACTGGGATATTGCAGCAGGACCTAGCCCCCGTCACACATCGAAAGCGGTGAAGGAATTCAGGACAGAGCAGCAAATACAGGTATTTGATTGGCCGGGGAATTCCCTGGACGTAAATCCCATTGAGAATTTGTGGGCTATATGCAAAAGTCCCCTCCGTGCTGTAGACGGTATGACTATGGAGAAGCTCATTCAGGTGCTGATTCAAGTGTGGTACTGGGATCCGAAAATCAACAGTGACTGCTCGAAACTATTAAACTCCAAGCCAAACCGTGTTCAAATGCTGCTTAAAAATAGCGGAGGCCATATCCGTTACTAATGTACGTATATGTGAGTTTTGTACATGCATACATGAATTTTTTTGAGGGATGCGGGTGGCGCTGGGGTCTAAACCAGTGACCTTGGGCTTGCCGATCAAAAGGTCAGCAGTTTGAATCCCTGCGATGGGGTGAGCACCCGTTGCTCTGTCCCTGCTCCTGCCAACCTAGCAGTTTGAAAGCATCCTAAAAAGTGCAAGTAGATTAATAGGTACCGCTCGTTTCTGTGTGCTGCTCTGGTTTGCCAGAAGCGGCTTAGTCCTGCTGGCCACATGACCCGGAAACACTGTCTGTGGACAAACGCCTGCTCCCTTGGCCTGTAAAGCAAGATGAGTGCTGCAACCCCAGAGTCGACTGCGACTGGACTTAAATGTCAGGGTACCCTTTACCTTTTATGTGAGTTTTGTACAATACACTACACTGTTCGTTTCAGTTAATTTGCACAAGGATGTAGATGGCTTTAAAAAAAAAAAGGATTAGGCAGATTTACTGAGAAAACAGTAGAGACCTGATAAAGAGAGCACAGCAGATGTTATATTTTCTGAGAATCCTCCAGAAAAACTCTCTCTCAAAGGACCTGTTGATGGCATTTTACCATTGTACTGTGGAGAGTCTATTAACTTATGGTCTGTGTGTGTGGTTTGGGAGCTGCACGGTCAGGGGAAAAATAATGCTGTCCAGGGTTGTAAAGACTATGGAGAGAATAATTGGGTGCACTCTTCCCACCTTGGATCAAATCAATGCTTCCAGGTGCCATAAGAAAGCTGTAGAGATAGCGCAGGATAGTGCGCACCCCGGAAATGATCTCTTTCAGCTTCTGCCTTCTGGAAGACGGTACAGGGTTATACAGACTAGGACTAGCCGCCTAAGAAACAGTTTCTATCCAAATGTGATTTTGGTTTTAAATGCAGTGTAAGGTAGTCTCTATGGGAGTATATTGTATTTAATTATGGGGTATCAGAGTTTTTAGGGGCTAACCAGGCTGGCACAGCTGGGATAGCAGGCTTCTTGGTTTGCGAATGTCTGATGTAGATTTTTTCAATTTCGTGTTTCTGCATGGGACAATGACAATATCATATTCATGGAGAGAAGGCTATCGTTGACTCCTAGCCAAGATGGCTCTGCTCTGCCTCCACAGTTGGTTCTGAAAACCAGTTGCTGGAAACCACAGGAGGGGAGAGTTGCTTTTGCTCTCAGATCCTCCTTGCTGGTTTCCCTTTGGGGCATCTGGTTGGCCCCTGTGAGAACAGGATGCTGGACTAGATGAACCATTGGCCTGATTCAGCAGACTCTTCTTCTCTTTTTCTGGAATATATCTTTCATAACTGTATTTATTTAAAATTAATAAAAAAAACAGACGGACAAACAAGTAAACAAACATAAAAGGTAAAGGTAAAGGTACCCCTGCCCGTACGGGCCAGTCTTGACAGACTCTGGGGTTGTGCGCCCATCTCACTCAAGAGGCCGGGGGCCAGCGCTGTCCGGAGACACTTCCGGGTCACGTGGCCAGCGTGACAAGCTGCATCTGGCGAGCCAGCGCAGCACACGGAAATGCCGTTTACCTTCCTGCTAGTAAGCGGTCCCTATTTATATACTTGCACCC